GGCAGGATTTCTCACGTACGCCGCTTCTCTGCCTCCCACCAGGAAAACGATCTCCGGGTAGGCAGCGAACTCCCACCCTGATGCTCTCATTAAAGCAGAGCCGCGGCCGGGCTGGGTGCCAGGAAGATTCCACCCCAGCTGCTCCGCCGCCAAGCCAGCGGGTCGCTCTCCAGCCCTTATCTTTGTGAAGCAGCACGCGCGAGCTGGCAGCCGGGAGAAACGGGCCGTAAAAAGGCTCACAGACACACCGAAAACACCACCACCCGTATTTTTAAGGGACATCGGGCAGCGTTTGTGCAAAGCCTAGCATCTGTGAGCCTTCAGAGTTTATTTTGAAGTCCCGTTGATACTGCGTTAGCAAACTGGAAAGTAAAAAGACAGCCTGCTCCTGCATTCCTAGTGCCTGCTACTAAGAATAAACTGGAAGATGCAAATAAAATAAGATGAAAATAGCAGTTGGATCTCTGACCTGGTCAAAAGATTTGAGAACTCAGACGAACAAGACAGGCATCCAGAGGAAACCCATGTCTGTGAGCTGGAACCCAAGATGATGTCACACGGTCCTGATTTAAACGCATGCCCTGTTCGTTCATCTTCCAAAGAACCTTCTTTGTACTTTTTGCAGTGACTGTACCCGCCCACTTAGGTTTTCTGTACTTTTTAAAATAAGATACATGAAAGCCACACCAGGTTTGAGTTAATATCTCATAATCTCCAACTCTGTACCAAATATGTTTATGTATTAAGCATTCTTGACTAGATCATTGCATTATTTACTTTCAAAGTTCTAAGAATTGGCCTAATGAATTTCAATGGACTTCAGCAATCTGATGATGAATTTCACGTTAATAGCATTCAGTGCTAGGCTTCCCCCACACACAGATGCCATGTATAATTAGAATCGTTTAGGTTGGAAAAGACCTTTAAGATCATCCAGTCCAACCGTTAACCTAACATTACCAAGTCCACACTAAACCAATTAAATCTGAAGAGTTAACGGTAAACACAACAACACATTTTCAGACCACTAAGCTACACCCCTTTCATGAGTTCAGCCTTTTCCTCTCTCTGCCAGATTCTTGACCCTCTTCCCTTATGTCTAACTAGGACATAAAATGCAGAGGCGAGGGGTGCTTGAATATTGGTAGTTTTTAGCAAATTATTTGCCCTTCTAGATTGCTCAGTCTCCCTGTGGCTGCAGCTCTGTACTGGCACCATGTTCCTACACTTGCAAACATCTGAGACAAGAGAATCTCCCCCTGCTTGGTGATTGTGCTCTGAAGGATCTTCAGCAGAGATGAAAGACGCAAATTATCTTTGTGCATGCGTACAGCCCTTTGCTTCTCTTTTCATTCTAAGATCCATCACCTTTCAGGCTACTGCAGTGCAGAAGTTCAACACGTAGCCAAAATTAAGGAACAACCCTGTGAATGGGTAGAGATGCTTCTGAGATGACACAAAGCCCTGGACCTCCCCAGAGAGCATGAATACTGGAGTATTTCTGAGAGCAGAAAAGCCTAAATGTCCAAACCTGGGGGTGGAAGGAAAAAGTCAACATCTGGATTTAAACAACTACAACAAAGTCTTGGAATACTTACCTTTTATACAAATTTCAGATTTCCTGTATGTTGGAACATGGTGTGAAAAAGCATTTAAAAGAGAAAGTAAGCTAAAAGAAATCGGAGATCAAGGTAAGCAGTTTAAAAAAAAAAAAACAAACCAAACTACAACAATAAAAATAACAAAAAAAAGCAAACACATTCAGTAGTAAGGGAAAGGGTAGAGAATAGCAGCAAGAAAGTGGTAGTGTACTGTACAGAAAGACCTGCTACAACATGACATATTTCTAAGGGATGTTTTAGTAGGGCCTGTAGGGACAGGACAAGGGGCAACGGCTTTAATCTAAAAGAGGGGAGATCCAGACTGGATATAAGGAAGAAATGTTTTACGCTAAGGGTGGTGCAGCACTGGCACAGGTTGCCCAGAGAGGTGGTCGATGCCCCATCCCTGGAAACATCCCAGGCCAGGTTGGACGGGGCTCTGAGCACCCTGGTCTGGTTAAAGCTGTCCCTGCTCACTGCAGGGGGTTGGGCTGGATGGCCTTTAAAGGCTCCTTACAACCCAAACTATTCTATGATTCTATGTTTACTAGTCTGCTTACCCACACAGCAGGGAAATCAAAGGTAAATTTGAATCTTGGAAAGAGTACAGCATTAAGGAAATAGCATTTGACATTGAATTTTAAGATCATCGGTGTTACAGAACACTGTTTTTTCAGTTCAGCTAGAATGATGATGAATTAGTCATCTGCTCAAATAGATGAAACCTAAGAAAAGGAGAACCTATGATTTCTTCGAACTATGAATCAGAGAAAAAACGACAGGACAATACAAAGAAGAGAAGCCAACTACAGAATACTCTCATTAGGAGACTGGAAATGTTCGTAGCAGTCTTAAATTTTCAAGTGGTTTTAGGCATTTGAAATTACAGGTGAAGAACTTTTCTATGGCCCTTTGGTATTTGATTCTCCGTGGCAACACAGAAAGCGAGTGATTTTTGTCTAGTACGTTGTATGAAAAGAGCTCAAGCACAGCACGAGGGGAGCAAAACAGTAGAAATTTCTTCCAGTGCTCAGAAAAAGAGAGAAAGGTGCCAAGATTTTGATATTGAAAATAAAAAAAAAAACCCAACCAAAAGAAAAAAAAACCCACCCAAAAAACCATGTCCAGAATGGAGTAGCTGTTTGGTCATCTGTGGCCTGGGAACAAATGATAAATCATTAACTCAAACACCGGATAACTACAGAGCAGCCAAACTACCTTGAGGAAAAGCAGCGTGTATGCCAGAGAGCTGGTTCACACCGGGACCTGGAGCGTTTATCTGCAGGCCCGGGAGGAGCCCAAAAGCTTGGCCGTGCTGCCCATCAGCCCTGTGCTGTGCTGGCAGAGAAGGGCGGCATTCGGGACCGAACAGGCGTTCCCTCGGCCCCTGGTCTCTGCTCTGCTACCAAAGCATCGGTCCTGGCCTGGAGCCTACGGACACCCTTTAAATTGGAAGTCTTTATTGGGATGACAAACTGCAGAAGTGGCAAACTGGTGAAGTGTAAAATTGAGAGAGGGGAGTTTAAAAAAAAAAAAAAGTGTAATGAGCTAGCTCAACTCATCAAGTACCTGCCCGGTCACAGCTCCGTAGTAAGAGATGCACATCAACCCCTGTCCATGGGGGACGGAACCGAGGGTGCCAAAGAGAAGTCAGATGGTAACAACTCAGCTCTTACACGTGCAGGAGGTTCTCAAAGCAGTGCCCTAAAGGTGAAATACCAAAAACCAGTTTGTAAGAGCGGTGGCAGTAAGAAAGGATATTTAATTCAAGAATACCTAAAGCAGCTGAACAGTTTTATGGTTACGAGTCTTTGGACCATGGTATGTCAGTGCTAAAAAACTGAAACAAAATCACAAAAAACTTGCAGTAATCTCTTACTGGCCCAGACCGTGCAGGCCTGAATGTTCACTCATATAATAAAGAGGAAACAGATTAGCGTGAGTTTTCCAAATTTTATTGTAGGAAAGCACATAAGGGGTTATTATTTACACTAATCTCTGTACAACTGGAAAGTGTTTCTTTGCAGCTTTGTTAACTTTTTTTTTTAAAAAAACCAATTGATTTATGAACACAGGTAACATTTGGCTGCCGCACTATAAAGTTTCGCACATTGAGTGCTCCTAAAAAATCCTACCGAGAGGTTGCTGCAATTCACAGGAGGTTCCTCAGTCCGCTGAAGCCTTGCACAGGGGAGTGATGCACAGA